AATTGCAGCTCGTCGTATCAACTCCATCTGTTGATTCGTTCAAAGCAAAATGGGATCTCGACTGACTGTACATTAATTCAAGGGGATTAGTATAGGCCAAGGGCTACCATACTTAAAATTCTGTAAACTGTAATCAGTGAGAATTCAAATGAATATTTTTTTCTAAATATAAAGTTTGTTTTCACTGATGATTAGGTTATGAATTTGTCAGCTGTTTCGTCTGTTACACAGTACCACACAAACATTATAGGGATCGTTGGTTAAAAGTGCAAATAATAATCGAATCAACTTCGATTTTAGCAAATTACATAGTTCTAGGTGAGAAATCGATAAACGAAGGAATTGACCATCCGATACTTGGATCACTTCGCTATGAATAACTAGTACTGCTGCCACTAGTGATTTTCAACCATTCATATCAATAAACTGTACATACCATTAGACGACTTTACTTGCCTTTGTCTTTGCTATTCAGATCATAGACTGTAATCTGTATCATATTTTTCAAAGGGAACTATAGTGAATACTGTCCCCAGATTCTGTGTAATTTGTAAATAGCGAATTTGATTCAATGTATCATCAGTTCATCCAAGAAGTAGGAGATCTAGAGTTCAGGTAGTGTGAACTGATTCAGTTATCTGAGCAGAGTGAAAAAGGGCTATACCGTTTATGACTTCAACCACAGTCACCCTGGCTATCAAATACTACTTTCTGATGTAAGTGGTGTCATAAAGTGGAAATAAATTCACTTAACGATTTGCCGAAATTGTGTCTGAGATAATTTTAGTAACAATTTCATCACATATAAATATGACCTGAATGACTTATAACTAATGATCAGATATAAAATAGTTAACTTTTTTGTCTACTGTTGTTAGAATAGGCATATCGATTCATTTTATGTCCGTTTATTGATTTCTTATTTCACTATTAAGTTCTGTTACACCTATAATCATATACATTCGAATAATTTAGTGTTATGTTGAAGATACCAGAAGTGGAATCTTTTTCACTGATTTTCTGTACATATTTTCTTTAATCAATTTCCAGTGTTCATACTCATCATAATGGATTGTAATGAAAACAAGCGTGCACTCGTTTCTTTCCGACTATATGAGGATAGACGGTAAAAGATGCATTGGTAAATCATAGTATTTAAATGTGTTTTATCGTCGGCTCAGTTTGTGAGCATCGAGGTCGAAGGGTAAAGATTTGGTCATTGTACTTTTATCTTGGCCTTAAAAACGTCTGGTTCTCTCATGTTTGTTATGCGTATAGGTTAATGTTGCCTTCATATAACTTTGGTGCTGAGAATCTCAGGTATTAAACTGTTATGTAGCTTTGACGGGACAATGTGTCCCCTTCCTTATATTCTAAGCAACCTCTATGCACAAATTCATTTGTTTCGAAAATGGGTTAAATGCATATATAGTGGGTTTATAATACATTCCAGTCATCCAGTTACAGATGTGCTCGACTCCGTTCGGTGTTAAGACCATTTCAAACTGGCTGACAAGCAATACTGATTGACGTGAATGGTTTTCAAATGCTCATTTCAATCAGTAGTATGCGCCACCATTCTATAAATGATTCTAGTCAGTGGATTCGTTTGTGATTCGGAGATTGAACCAATACACCATTGAGATATAGGATTCTTGGTGTAGAAATAAAGTAAAAACGTCAGAAAAATAACATCTTTCTTATGGTTGTAGATTTGAAGAATGAAAAAAAATTTGTCCTTATTTCGTGGTCATTAATTAATTCTAATATTCTTAAAAATGGCTTTTTTGATTTCAAATGGTTGGAGACAATCGGTAGGAAGCCCTGAATCTAGATAGCAAGCTAGTTGGCACTCATCAGCAAGGCATATCTGCAACCTTGAAGAAACTCGCGTGCTAAGTGAGATTTGAGCCTACGTAATCCACTGCTGCAGTTAGGGACGTGACCACTGAGCTATTCAGGCTCACGATTGAACTCCTGTAGGACTATATTGGGATACTTTGATTGGATACTAGTTAGTCCAAGGCTTCCTGCCGATTGTCTCCAACCATCTAATATCAACAATTTCAAAGAGCGACGTGACGGCGAGCCATCTAGAATGCTGGTCACATTGCAAACTTGACTGATGGAATTTAGTCTGCACCAAGCAAAGGACTAGACTCACTACACTTGTCACTGACTAGTGTCCGTTCATAATAATGCCTTTATTTGAAAAAATACTCCTGATACAGTAGACCCTCAGAGATGTAATACGATGCTGCATCTGATTTTCTCTCTACGTTACATATTGAGAAGAAAAATAATTAACAGGACATTTACATTCATAATGTTTTTATTTAAAATTAAAAATCAGTAGATATAGAGCCAACAATATATTAATGATGGGAAGAATACAAAGAGCTGTTTATTTGCCACTTCGCAGTAAGTTACTAGTTTCATGACTGATATTGTTTTCATCACATAAGATGTGTGAGAAATAAGTTTTGTACTAAATTATGTGCACATAAAGTCTTTTATAATTCCCTCTGGTCCTGTCTGTTGAGGTGCAAGGGCAGTGACAGTCTTTCAGGATGATAATCACCAATTTCTTTCACGAGTACAAGTGTCTATCCACAACAATAATAACGGGTTAGTTTAGTGACACCGTACTCGTCCTACTGACAGTTTTAGCATCCTTCGCAATGTGACAAAGCCTTTTTTGAGTTCCACAGGGAAGATTAACGGAGAGGAATAAAAAAGAATAGACTGAATACAAGAGTCAACACAGTTTGAAAGTGGAGGCTGTGTTATACTACATTGTCTTAACTTCTTTATGTAAATGCTTGGACGAAATATTTTTTAGAAAGCAACAGGATATGTGACAACTGGGAAAGCTTAGAGGAAAGACATAATTCAAGATACTTAACATTTAACTTAGTTTCAACTTCAATTCCCATCATGTTACATGAATCATAGCAACGAAATACTACACGCAGATTACGTTTGCGTTTGTAAGTGAAATTAATAATCTGACATGTGGAGGAATTCAGCTTAAAACTATTTTGATAAAATGCTATTCATTTTGAAACAATCTGGTTGAGATGTAAACGAAAGGGAAACGGTCAGATAATCTGCATACTTAACAAAAGAGATTTTATCAGAATGATATAATATAATTCATTTTTCCATGCGATTTGTTTCCATGGTCATCTTTTTCAAAGTGATAAGAACAAGATTTTCAATGTGAAATGTCCACATATTATTTTCAGGCTGCTCTTAAGTTGCAGACGGCCTAAAATATAAACAGAGGATTAATAAATTAACAACGTACAGTTTCTTCCTCTAATAAGCAGAAAATTTTTCTGGTTAACCCCAAAAGACACAAGAAAGTTGTGAATAAATAGCATGTTCGGTATCCGACATGATGACTTTAGTTAACTGTTTACAACAAATAAAATGTCTATCAACAACAATGTCAGTTTATTGGGTCAAAAGAACACCACTAACCCTGTTAACAGCCTTTAAAGTGGCTAAGATTATTGGGCCTAACTGTATATGGCTGAAAAGAAGTCCTGAAATAAAATCCGCACAGTTAGTCCTACAGATCTAGTTCTTCCTATCTTGACAAATTAATTCACTTCATTAGTTGAATTCTATTGATTTCATAAATTAAAACGATTGTTTACAGCTAAAATGATTTATTTTTAGATATATCAACTGACAAACACATCGTCTTTTCGATGAAAAAGTGTTAACATTTCTGAACTTAATCGAATACGTGTAGAATAGTAGACTTTCAAAATACACGAAGTTATTACTATTCGAAACTTTTAGTTATTAAGAATTATTATACTTGGTAGAAGGGGTTTGCAAGGAAGCCTTGGGCCTAGGTTATGCGCTTGTTCAAAGTCGTCAGTAAGGTGTATCTGTGACCTGGAAGGAACTGATATCCCTCTGTAATTTGAACCTACATCACTCAGTACTGCAGTCGGTGCTATTCAGCTTTTAAGGCCATCCCAGTAGTTCTATTTCCCATATCCTATTAGTACTGAAATCAACAGACATGTTAACAACCTTATTTAAAAATTGTAGGTGGATATTGTATCTTCTAGTCACTTGACTGAATATCAGACTATGATGGTGGCTAGTGTGGCTTCAAAAACAAGATAGATGTGTAACACAATTTAACATCTTACTTATATGGAAAGAATATGTTTTTCAGTCCACTTATCCACACTTACAGAGTAGATGACTGTGCACTGCAAAGATTAGATTATATATTTAAATTTAAGAGCGTATATATTAAGCAGATTTATCATACGAGGAAAGACTAGACAGTTTAAATCTATTCTTCCCATTATACCGTAGGCAGAGACAAGATTTAATTACAATGTTTAAAATTTCAAATAATGACTATGCACCTGACCTATTCTCTCTTTTCCTTCCCACCAGGTTGAAACACCTTAGAAAACGTAGTAGGAGAGTTCGAAAGCCAAGGAGAAACCATATTTCTGTAAAGTACTGGTTCTCACACCGAGTCATAAACTCATGGGACCGCCTCCCAGAAGAAGCGGTGTCTGCAACCCCAACTGATTCATTCAAGAGGCGTTTGGACAAACACATAAATTTACTAGAAAAGGATTAACATAGGCTCCAAGCCTTCTGTCATCAGTCGACAAATCTGAATCTGAACTCAGCTGTCTCCACACCTGTAGATGAATATTTTAGGTGGACTTCAATTACAGTGGAAAATGGCCAGTACAGTGCAGATTTTTTTTTATTTGAATAAATGTTTACTAATATTCCTTTAGAATGCAGTCAGACCAACTACCTCCACTGTCTGAGACTTAGGAAACATAAAATTCCCTGCACCTCAATATTATTGGCTAACAAAATAAAGAATGCATAAAAATGTATAATTAGACATGAATTTTAGATGTGATTTTCAGCCAATAGGAACACGGTATATGGTGACCTACATAAACGACACAAAAATCCAAAACCCAATCAACATTATTCACGGACAAGGTCACAGTTGGCGGTCATTCGACCGTCAAGTTGCTGTCATCATGGCAAGCTTATTTCGGAAAGGAACAATTTCTAAGGTAAACTGATGGTCTGTTTTATATTCAAAGGTATTTTATGAATTTCTATGTAAAGAACACCCTTAATTATTACGAAATCATAGTCTAGCCTTTTCCCTAGCTAGCATGAATTTAAACTTTTACTGTAGCTAGTTTGAATGAATGGTTAACAGGTTGAAATCATCCTTATGATTCGAATTCGATCATACAGTTTTGTTTGTTTGAAAGTGAGGAAAATATATGAAACTTTTAATTTCACATAGACTGATTCTCGTTCTCAAAGGATTAGCTACTAAAAATATGACACCTGTATAAAAGCTCATTAAAGTAGCTAAACTAAGGTAAAGTAAGAATACAGCAACTTAAGTTATCAAGTTCACCATTGACTTGTGGTGAGGAACGGGAAGGGACGTGCATCAACACTACAAAGTCTGCTTTTATCTCAAAATTAAAATTATGGTTCAGGGTTACGACAAAGTTGAATAAGAAGTTTCTGGCTGGCACGCTGACGTAATCTGTCCTTGCGTATCCTTTCTAGCCTTCAGGTCTTCACTAACAAGTGAAGACAGCCGTTTGCGTATGTCTGCAGCATGCTGCCGGAAGTGCCTTTGTGACTAGTCAAGTCTCTTGAATATGTAGAGCCACTGACTTTATATTAGTATTAAAGATCTAGATTGCGTTCGTCGTGCTAAATGCTGTATATCTCCACACTGATTTCAAAGCAATGAATGTCTATTAAGATTTCTCCCGTCTATAGTGGCATCCTTGTTGTTGTTGCTTTGTGTGCTACATGGAGTGTGGCGACTTGAACTGCCGCACATATGTGCAAAGTTCTATGTCGAAAACAGACAGACAGACAGTTAGGTATTTTCATCATCTTTATTTCTCTGTTTCTATGCTCACCTGAAGTTCTGTCTTCGCTGCCTGACCCTTCTGCCAACCTTTTAGTTTTCGTCTATAGGTTTTCGAGTTTGTGTGGTATTAGAAATAAATCACCTGCGAAGTCCAGATCTTCCACTCTTTTTCGTCCTTCCAACGTATACTCGTCGTCTTGCTTTCCAAGGTCTGTTGTGTGATCCAGTTTACAGCAGTTAAGAAGTCTTGTCTTAGTTCTGTCTTCAGTTCAAAGGCATCACTGAAATTTTCTTTGTGGATCACCTAACGCGGGATATCAGATAGCCGTTGAGTGAGGTTTATAAAGGCTTAGAGTTCTCCGCATTGCTGAAGCACTACACATTAGAAATTACTTGAATTGGACTTTGTAGTTATTTGAGTACGCCTATCAGAGAGTTAAGTAGGCCAGTAAAAGAGATGCTTATTCCATGTATTGTTAGTCTGTTTTAGTGTGGTTTCTGAGGAAACTGTGACGAATAATTTGGGTATGCTGTTGTTTCTACAGAAATGTTTGTTTGTCAATGTCATATTCACGATCTGTTACTAGAGTTGACCGACACTTTGATTTCGCTGTGGGTCACTGGATTAAGCATTGGAATTTCATTAATTGGTCACCTTTTCAAACCTCATCTTCTCTGCCGATATTTGGGCAGTTAGATGGGATCACCACCTCGTACAGTATGGGTGTAGCTTGTTACTAAGCCGTGCAACATTCAGGCGTTCTAATTCAGTTAGAATTATATATAAAACTGCAACTTACTGACTAACGTGGTACTACGTTTTCACCATAGCTTTGTAATACCGCCTACATACTTTAGAAAGATAAGAATCTATTGTTCTTTTTTGGTCTATGTTAAGTATCTTTTTAAAACCACTTGTAGAACCAAACTCTAAATTTTCTATACTCTTTTCAGACATCACAAGTGGTGAATTACTTTGTAGTAGTGTGTGTACTCAATAATCTCACTAGTAGATTTAGTAAAATCTAATTCTCAACCTACGTTTTTATAAGTTTTTCTATGCACATGTGAATATATTTTAGATTGTTTTCTGTGGGATGAATAGTTATTTATTTATTAAAATTCTGTCATGTCACTTTATTTCAATGAATTTGATTGGTAAATTGATTAGTGATTCACATGATGTATTCATCATCTCCATAACTTAATAATCTCTGTAAAATTTGACTTGTAATAGACATAGTGCTAAATATAATGTAATGTCTCTCCCAAGTTTATGGAATCCAAATCGTAAATGTCCTAAAGTTCCTAAGCATAAACTGTGTGATTCAACACTACCACCATTACCTCCTTCAAAATTCAAAAGCTCAGTGAGTTCATTTTGCTTATACTGTCAAGATTATACATATGGAAATGATACCTACGCTTTATTCTTTGTGTATATAGCTTTGTCAAGTTGTTTTCCAGTGCTTATTAGTTTAATTTTCAAAGATCCAAGATCAGGTTAATTTCATTATTTTGACCTTCGGTCATTAAAATGAATACAATTATTTAAAATCAGTTACCCACAAAAGATGTTTGTTATTCCCATTGTGCAATAACTGATTATAATAATACCCAGTTAACTAGGTCGAATTAGGTAAAGCAGAATTGAGATCTGTGACTCATTGAAAGGATGTTGTATGCTTCAATTAGCCACATTTTACCTCTGACAGAGGGTCAGGTTTGAAAAGAGTCAGTGGTGGACAAACCAAAACATGGCATCAGTTAATGATATCCACAACAGTTAGTTTAAGCCACATAGGAAGATGTAAACTTCCTGGTTGGGATCCTCGGGACGGTAAACACCAATGTCTGGAGATAATTGGTGATATGGCTCAAAATCGTTCTCAATGGCTGGCAAAGATGCATCCACTTCTTGTGACTTATATTGTTCTTCGATATTCCTATTCTTTTTGCCCTATATCTCTGATTACTGTCTCTATTTTGCATTTCTTTTTACTTTCTTTTCTGACTTTGTGTGCTGAGTGAAGTATGGCGACTTGAACTGCTGCACATCGGTGCAAAGTCCTATGTTGAAATTCCATAATGGATAAGATTTATTTTTATAAATCACACAGTGTAGTACAGTTATATTAACTGATGACGTTTCGAGCACAAACTATTGCTCATAATCATATCAAGTTACTCACACAACTTCTTTCCTTCATTTATATACATGTGTGGAATCGACTAGATATTGGAATAAAATTCAATATGAGATAATGTACATTCAGAAATAATAGTACGAGTGTTATTAATCCATTGCAATTAGATGGGAAATACGACGAGTGTTTTTATAGTCATAATAAGTTAATTGTTAGAATGTTATGATGTGCTTGAATGGAAATAGAATTTTAAGACTATTTATCATCCTCTTCTGATTTGACTGGCGGTAATAATATCTTCCATATTTCTGTTATGTGCATTGAGTCACTTCTGTTGCATGTGTTGGGTGTGGACTCGATGAATAAGGATTCCGTAGTCAACCTCTCTCTCCACCTACCTAGATTACTTTTTAGAATTTTAACCCTATCCCACCCTATTGTGTGGTTGTTTGTTATTGCATGAAGTGCAATAGCTGAGCTTTTTTCTAAATTAATTATCTTTTCAGGGTCAATCATTTTTCCCTTAGCTAAATTCTTATGTTCTGATAATCTGACTATCCCTGACCTACTAGTTTGACCTATGTAGTTGACTTCACAGTCATTGCAAGGTATTTTGTAAATTATATTATTTTGTTTAATTGGGTCCAACGGGTCCTTTAACCTACAAAGTTTGTCTCTGAGTGAGTTTGTTGGTTTGAATGCCACCCTAATTCCTGCTTTATTGAGAATCCTACGTAGGGCCTCAGATGTCCCCTCCTTATATGGTATAACAGTAGAAGACTTATATTCTCTCTTATTTATGTTATTACTACTAGTTACACAATTATTTTTATTTTGTTTTTGGCCTTTACTGATCTTCTTAATGAATTTTATAGGATAGTTATTCAACACCAACGCTTCTTCTATCTGTTTTATTTCGTCATTTAGGTCCTTTTTGTGCTACTTAGTGCTATGGCTCGGTTTGTCAGACACTTAACCAAGCCTGCCTTAACAGTTAACGGATGAGACGAATTAAAGTCTAAATATCTATTGGAATGCGTTGGTTTTCTATAAACACTAGTGTGTAGTTTGCCTTCTATTCGTTTTATCTTACAATCTAACATGGTTAATTCTCTCGCCGACCATGCACATGGTCCGGGGTTCGATCCCCTGCCGGCGCACACCCGATATCTATGGTATGCCTGAATTTGGGCAACCGATATCCATGCTGAAAATTCCACACTTGTACTGAAAATACGGTGTGGAAATCAAGCTGTAAATCAAAAATCAAAAAATCAAAAAATTCTCCTTGTTCATTTTCTGATTCAAATGTGAATTTTATTCCTTCTACTTGTGAGTTTATATGTGTTAAGAAGCTAGAGATATGTTCTGTTTTTAACACTGTGAATGTGTCATCTACATATCTCCACCATATTTTTGGCGTAGGATTAAATGTATTGAGAGCACTATTTTCCCAACTGTCCATAAAGATGTCTGCTACAATAGGGGATATTGGTGATCCCATTGCTACACCTTCTGTTTGTCTATATATTTTGCCTTGGAACTTGAAGATAGTAGATGTGAGGCATAACTGGATCCCTAAATTTCTTCAATGGGTAGCTTTGTCCTATGACTAAGTTCGGAATCAGAAGTTAGTTCTCTTTTAACCGCTTCTAGGGCCATATTGACTGGTATATTAGTGTAAAGACTAGTTATATCAAAACTGACCATTGTTTCGTCATTCGCTAGTTGAATGTCATTTAGTTTACTTTTCATCTCATATGAATTAGTTAATCTAGAGTTTGAATTATTTCTGATAGGGCATAGTATTAAAGTTAAGTGTTTTAATAATTCATAAGTTGGGGTATTTCTAAAATCTACTATTGGCCTTATTGGGTATCCTGGCTTATGTATTTTAATAGTACCATATAATCTACTAGCATTATTAGTTTTAGGCATTAAGTTAAACCATTTAGACTCACCCAGTGACGGCTTCATTCTGCGTATTAGTTCTGCTGTAGATTTCTTAACCTTATTCATTATTGTATCTACTGGCTTCTTAATTTCCTCATATGGACCCGTTTGAATATGTTCAATAACTTTTTTGATATAGTCAGATTTATTCAGAACTACGGTGGCGTTTCCTTTATCAGCTTTTGCAATGACAATATTTTTATCCTGTTTTAGACTAATTAAAGCTTCTCTTTCCAATTTTGTTAAGTTTGATTTTGCCTTCTTTTGATTTTTCAGGTTTAATGCACATTGTGCTCGAACCCCTTCTGCTGTTGTCTTATCTATTGAACCTAGCGTTACTTGTATGTTAGGAATGACATCCTCTGGTTTTAATTTGTTGACTGTTGCAATGGATTAATAACACTCGTACTATTATTTCTGATTGTACATTATCTCATATTGAATTTTATTCCAATATCTAGTCGATTCCACACATGTATATAAATGAAGGAAAGAAGTTGTGTGAGTAACTTGATATGATTATGAGCAATAGTTTGTGCTCGAAACGTCATCAGTTAATATAACTGTACTACACTGTGTGATTTATAAAAATAAATCTTATCCATTATGGAATTATACTCTACCACAGTGCCCAAGTTTTATACTTATATCCTATGTTGAAACCAGTCAGTCACATTTCACTGCACTGTATATATTTGCATGTTAGGAAATGTAACGGTTCTGGTGAAAACATTTCATTTAAACTCACGTGACTGTGTAATGTCCTAACACCTAACGTCAGATGACGACAAGTAGTAATGCCAGCCGTGAATGCCAACCTTCTTATTTAGTTTTTCCGCAAATCTACCAATAAAGATGATTATCTTTGATTTTAGTGCCTCTAAAATCTACGTGACACCTGGTTGTTTTAGGTGGTTAGTGAAGAAATGTGATTTTCTAATGGTCCTGTTCAAAAATCTAAGTTTGTGTGATATGCTCTTCGCCTCTGTGGAATGTAAAGTGATGTTTCAGAAATGTTGCGGACTGATTCGTAACTTGACAATAGGGATTGAAGTCGTTAAATGTGTTGACTACTTCTCTTATTTTGGAAGTCACACATCTGGAACGGCATTCAGCCTCCAAAGCCTCAGGATGGTCGGGGGTGGGTGCCTTGCGCTGCGGGTTGGCCACCCCTCCGCACACCTCTTGAAATGCTTCCATATGACCGGGCGTCTTACATAGCCTCTCCTGAGGAAGTCCTACTCACTGCCTTCACGTGGCGGAGGTGTTTTTCACCAAAGTGAGAGGGCGGATGCCCGGCGCTCTTCACCGGGTTGACTGTCCATTGGATGACAGTCTAGGGGAGATGGCTAAACCCTGATTCCAAACCTCCAACGACTGGCGTATGAAGCTCACCGGCAGACGTATGGACAAAGGGCTTGTTGGATGTCCTGGATGTCTGGCCCCATTCAAAAAGGCGTATGAACCGAACTCCGGTCACCGGCTGCCAATGGATAGTGGACTCCCTACTCCACTCCTACTGCCCTGTAGGTCACACTTGGTTGTGTAAAGGCTAGAGCTGCACCCTTAAACAAAAGGCCGAGCGATTCTGGGGACATCACTCGTACCAAATTCCCATGAAACTTCATGAACTCTCTTCCTGTCGCAAAACCTTGCAACAGATCGCCGCGCCTGGGCAGCGATGATTCGAGATGTTCATGAAGCCGGCTCATCCTTCCGTAGGAGATAGCCGAAGTAAAGTAAAGTAAGTAACGGCATTCAGGACTAATTTGCTAGTCTTTAAAACCATAGATATATTCACTCATTAACTATTATTTTTGCTCTCATGTCCATGTTTATGTATTTTGTTTTCTTTCTCATGTGTACTTATGGAAATTTTCGATAACTTGCAGCGATGTGGTTTTTTAGGCACTACACTGATTTGTCTACAAGTCAAATATTTCATTCACTGTTCTCACTTCTAACATATTTGCTAATGAAACTCTGAAAGGCCTAGTATACAATTTTTTGACGAAATGGATTCTTTATATCTGTTCAGCTTAGTATTTCAGCTGTGGGTTTTCTTTAGCCTAACGTTCTTGTTGCTGTACTGGCATTCGATCCCATTTTCAAAGATTATGAAACCTTCGGGGAACAAAATGTAGTGGTAATGTTTTGCTTAATACTCTAACGCAACGAGTACTATTGGGTAACCACTTGAAAAATATTTGTAGAAGGATTTTACTGGGATATCATCTTGATCGTACCGTAGAGAATGTACGAGGAACTAAGAATTATCTGAGCTGTTAATCAGAATTTTGTGTTGTTTTATGAGGTGTTTATTGACAAAATGCAGTTTTCTGGACGTTTTGAGCAAAAGTTTTAGTGTAGTTTGCACGTGATCGGTTGTTGTCAAATGTAAAATAATGCTTCAGGTTTGGTCTGGATTGACTCCTAGTTTAAAGATGGAGGGTAAAAGTGGTTGATTGTTTTAGCCACTTCACTTATTTTGGAAGTTGTATAGGTACTATTAGGAGTGGTTGATGAGGTAATTGCAGCTCAGATACGAAAGTATCATTTGGTATTTGCCAACCAAGCCATCTCCTTCCTTGCCTAACGACGCTAGCTGGTATAGAACTGGGTTGGAAAAGAGTTACGGTCGGTTAAACCAGAAGTTGGAGTCAGTCTATGGAGCCTTTGACTGTTAGTTTGGGCCACGCAGAGAGGTTTAGGTAGCCTTGTGGGGGTCACCAAGATATTGAATACCAATGGCTGGAGAGTGTTGGTGACATGGCTCGAAATGTGTTTCAATGATAGGGACCCATTTATTCTTTATGAACTCCCAGATCCATTAAATCTTCATTATTCTCCATGAAGTTATTCTTTCTCCCTTACATTTCCATTTTTTATAGTTTCTTTGCTTTTTCTCCCTAACTTTGTGTGCCTTCTGAAGTGTGGCGACTTTAACTGTTGCACTCCAGCGCAAAGTTAAACTTTGAGAAGTGAGTCCAGTTATTTGTTAACACCCTTTCCTGCCATATATACTTCACACTGGACTACATATTATCACTAACCATCACGCAGTAAATTTGTGTCTTATAGTGTGTGATACGACAAATCTCTGCCGAGTGGTTGAGATAATCAGTCTTTTTCCTTATGTAGTATTCTCTTATGCTACGCTAGAGACAATAATGTCACTAATCACTGTCTATTTCAAATTGTACTATATTCCTGTTAGCTACTGTTTGCTGCTCATTTTTGGTATTTCTAATCGTCAGTCTCTTCCCTCATTGTTAGGTAGATATGGTTAGAACTTCCAATTTATTTGTATTCCAGATGCCTATACTTTCCACCAATTTGAAATCCAGGCTGTATGAACCTACGCATCGATTGCTTTGGATAATTCTGAGTGTCTAAAACTTTATCACACTTTTTTAAATATGTAACCTATTATGTAGCAAATAAGGCTCTACACTGTGTAGGTCAACGTTTATATTCAGTTATTTATTTTCATTGTAATTTAACTACCAAATACAGTATAAAACAGATGCCTACAAAATTACTTAACTAAGAGTGTAGTTATCAAAGTATAGGAAGGTCATACACGTTGGCCGTATAGTTCATCTTTTCACTGTTGTTTGAAGACCACATGACTTGTTTTGTTTGTGATGTAACTTTTATTTATTTATTTGTCTCTCTAATCTAGGATCCAAAGCTACAACAGGATTTAGAGCGTTATTATAAAATACGAGCAGCTGCCTGTCGTATTTTATCAATTGCTCAAAATCCATTACAACGATTGGATGCAGCTAAAACTCTGCTTGTCAGTCATGCACAGTTACTCAGTTGTATGCGACTAATTCAAAGGGAGAAAGTTGAAGATGCTTTACTTGCAAATTCACTGTCTCCAAATTCATTGTTGAAAGAAATACCCATCATTAATGGAACAGTTTTACGAAAAACGTGTTTTGCTCGGCCAGGATATGCTCAGTTGTGCCTATCAGGTATACCTTGGTGCCTGTTTTATTTATGTATCTTTCATTCCTCTCGTCTTCAGTGGAAAATATAGCTTCAATCTTTTGAAGTTTCACTAGTGATGATGTTATTACTCTATGGGGTGTGGTTGTCAGTCTCGTGCACACTTTCCTTCTTTTCCGGGCTTGCTATCAAATAAGCAGAGTTTAGCAATGCTTCTGCTGGGGATTAGACCCATACCATATGCATGGCCGGCAAGCATTCTACCAATGAACCATCAACGCACATAATTACAGTAATGAAATTCAAATAGATTGCCTCGATGTTTTCTATATCTGTATTATCTCGTATTATTTGCCTGGGTCATTTAATAAGTTTAAGATATTTCTCATCAATTCGCTATTCGTTAGTTGTTTTTAGTTTCTCTTTAGCTGTTCATCCATGACCCTACATCACCACGAATGACTTTTTGTCTGCTTAATAGTCACGTTACCAATAAACTTGAATTGTTATCCATCTAGTCCTCGGTGAATAATGATTGTACGCCTACGACTAATCAGTTTAGTCCTCCGACGTCTGACCACTGGGTCACAGGTTCAGAAACCCGCTCCGTATACCGAAGTCTGAGCAGTCGTGTAATATCATTATTCTTCACATAATAAGTGTGACTGATTGCCAACTGCATGAAATCGCAAGTGGTTGTCGAAATAATTGAATGTCTGCAAATTTAAAAACTTTAATTCCTCTTTAATGTCAGTCAATTTGTAACTGAGGATGAGTTCATGTTGAATGAAGTAGAATACAGTTGCACACTTCTACGAGTTAAGAAAAGTTAAAAAAACCTATGTCTAGTAACTGAATCGCAAGGTTTTCAGCGAGAAAACTGAAGGTCATTAATCCTATTTTGTATAGATGTGTGACTAAGGATACCTCAATGTGGCTGAATGAGAATAAATCAGTTGTCACTGAATTATTGACTACATTAATTAATGTATTACCTGGCGTATAGGATTCTGAAATAGTTCCATCGGATTGGTAACGATCGCTGATTATATAGCTTGATTAACAGAATATCTGAGTCCCATTATTCTGCGAAGACTAATTATGGCTCAGAAAAAACAAACCTGAGAAAGCCAGATAGACTTCAAACCTATACAAGTGTTTACTAATCATATCTTTACCTTCCACTGGGTTCTGGAACATACTACGAGGAAATCGACGACGCATGATTCGTGCCTCTTTCTAAGCACCAAAGATGATGTTGGCTGGGAAATGATTAATGGGTTCTTTGTATATATTTGTGCTGTGATTTCGTTAGTAATCAGTCCTATGAAGTGGTTCAACTTTCCAAATAGGTTTGATGCACAACACCGTGTTTAACGTTATTATGTCTTTTTGGTACTAAGGTCACTCAAACCCGTTTATTGCCGACCAAATAATATGTAGACGAGGAAATAAAAACTTTGTTTCATTCTACTTAGTGTTTCAATATGTTTTGTAACTTTTATACTTTCAGATGTGCGTATTCCGTTAATATGGCGTAATTTAACCCCTGGCACCAATATGAATTTGGCTATGCAACAGTTGTTCCCTCAGTCTTCCAGTCTCGTAAGTGGTCTACTACCTACGGCTATCAGTGCTTCTGGAGACAGTATCGATAAAGTAGATGCTGGGGATCAATGCGATGGCTATAGTTTATTTTGTACAATTCAAGTTGGTCATGTGATCCGTGATACTCGACTAATCTTTGATATCAAACCTGGTACAGCTGATATAGAATTTAATGATAAGTGGACTTTGTAAGTGTTTAGAAGCTAGGCATTTAAACTGATGATTGTTGACCGAATACTAATAAACTGATTTGATGCGGTTATAGCTCAATAGTCTAAGACTTCAGAGCAGCAAAAGTCTATCCTCATGCGTGCTGCATTTAATTGAAATGATGATAACACTCACAATAAATATGACTAGTTGTTTATGGTTGATGAATTGTATTTCTTTATAGATGCTTCTGCGAATCATTTTAGTTTTGTGTGTAGAACATTTGTTGTGCATCTTCTAATTTGATCTTTGGTTGACAGTTATAGCTGAAGAGTTTCTTAGATGATATGTGACATAATGTCAGTGTCTTCTGGTGTGATGGTAGACATCTGATTCACTGACTTAAGTACTTGACTTTCAGCTGCAGTTTCGAATCCGAATCCAGCTGTTTACTTCAGCCTGGATGACTGCGTAATATCATCAGCACCTGAGTTCAAACAAAAAAAATCCTTTGTTATGGAGTTTAAAATCTACATATATATGAAATGAGAATTTCCAAGTGTTAGTTGACTGGAGGTGACGCTAAAAATCGTGAATTGACAGAAGTTAAATTAAATGGGCCATTGGATTCCATCCATGTGGGGGAAGGGCTAACAGAATCGTTTTGTAACCTGAAGATCCTCAGTTTAATCCCCAGTGGGGTCGTTGATGCGTACTGATGAAGAGTCACAAACTAGGACAAAATAGTTGTCCAGTACTCCCTGGTTCCAATGGCTCTCCAATTGACATCAATCCGTGGTAAAAGTTGAACTCATAATTTGTTAGTCTGTGAACTGTCAATAAACAATAACATACCAAATACTCAGACAGCCATTGAGTTCATTTACTTTGAAAAAGTTTCCGAAGCACGCCAGTGAAAATAGGAGTGGCTCATAAGTCTAGACACTTGACTTCCAACCGCTGCATTATGGGTTCGAATCCCGCTGCATATACCGAGATTCGGACGACCATAGACTGCCGAGATGATAAATCACGGTAGGTAGGAATTTGAAGGAGGTCATGTCTTCCACCTACCTGGGCAGCATCATTCCAACTATAAGTCCTCATGGATGAGGATATCAAAGCCGGGGTCAAAAATCTCACTACGGGCTAGCATAGGTATGGCAATCATGGAACATTGAATTTACACCCCAGTAGCTCAATAAGATACATTCCTGCTTCAAAATCTGGCGAATTTTTAACATCAATCTGTCACAAAATCATAGGTGTGATGGTCAACTTCCAAACTAAAACGGGAAAACTTAATTATTTTATTTTTTTATTACAGCTTGATGCCACACCGTATTTTCAGTACAAGTATGGAATTTTCAGCATGGATGTTGGTAGCCCAAATTTTGCAAGCCGACCATAGATATCGGGTGTGCGTCGGCAGGGGATCGAACCCCGGACCATGTGCATGGTCGGCGAGACTCCTAACCACTGTGCCACCGACGCACTTCATTTACTTAAATAAACAGATAGATCGTATTTAATTCAATTTTAGATTTTCCCGTCGATTGAATGAACCGAAGTGCTCGATCTCAGAACGAAATGCCCATCTCGGATTCCACTGCTAGTCACCATCCCCCAATTAACTTCCAATTGGATAGATTGTATTTTCGAATAAAAATTGTCTGTCGGGAAACAGAGTTCGTTATCGCCTGGTTGGTGATGGCTAGTAAAGGAATGCAGTACGCCTGTCTCATCTTTACGTAGAGATTTGAACCCAGCACCCATCGTTTCAAACACTTAAGTGTTATCCACTGGGTCACGAGAGCTACTTCCTGTGATTTTGAGTTTCCCACTGATTGATTATACTGAAACAAAATGCTCAGTCTCAAAATAACTTCAAGTAGCAGTAGCCTTTTTCATTGACGTTGATTACTACTGTATCAAAATAAAAATAATCATTCTGTTCTGTTATTAATCGAACTAACCTGCTTTATTGTTTCCTAAATACAAATTTTGATCCAGTGATGATGTCACATCCGAATTTGAATGCATAATTGAAATTTATGCTTTCCCTAAAGGAGGTAATAAAAGCAGTTCATTATTCTCAAGACGTCGATTTTCACCAGTCTACGAAACTGGGAAAAAAGTTATAGATCAGGTCAGTTTATTTATATATTTTTTTCTTTTTGGAGTTTAACTCTCACTCTTCTTCTCACTTGTCTATTTAGAACAGTAATGATAAGTTTTGCTTTCGTATTTCCTACAGAGAATATTTAAGTAATTTCCGCACACTATATTGACATAAAAAACAACAATCGTTGGGTTTCTTGGCATCAGAGATACTTTCAATTCGTTGGACAGAACTGTCTGTTAGATAGAGATGTTTGTTAACATCCTGAAGTCCTGCACGGTAACACCTCAGGTAGAGTGAAGGCATACGACCAGGTACCACCACTGTTATCAACCAACAGCAGGGTTAGACGGCTTTACGCTATGAATCCTACTTCTAACCACCAGCAAATTAGCTATTTTTCGGTTTTTACACGAGAACGTCACGAATTATGTGTATGCGTGTGTGTTCGAATAATGTTTTCTTTTTATACGCTATAAGTTAGTGAGAAAATAAAAGTGTAAACTGAATTCTATGTGTCGAGGAAGAAAAAGCTTTAGCATATTAAGCATCTAATATTCGATGTGCTACATTTTTAATGTAAAACTTCTCTCTTTGATTTTCTTTCTATCCTCCTTCTCTTTCACTTTAGAGTGATATGAATTCTACTTCACCACTTGGTCAGAATTCGTGAGTTTTATTGGTTTTTTTTAATTTTCAAAAGACACTGTATTTATAGAAGTGTTATTATGTGTTAAATTCAACCCGAAATTAAATTTCTGGCATAATCAACGTGGGAGGACGCTCACTGGCCACGTGGGAGGTCGGGGTTCGATTCTGGGCCAACTCGCTCTTAAGCCTCGCCCAACTTCCTTAACCAGCAGTGAACCCGGGAAAGGGGGAGAGTTAGGTGTGAGGCCAGCAATCCCACTTCACCAGAATACCGCTAGTGAGATACACTAGAGCTAGGAAAACAAGGAAAGGAATGGAAGTGATTGACGTAGAGACTACAAACAAATTGATTAATATTTTTCATATAATCACCAATGAAATAGGCAATTTTGGGAACATCATAATTCATTTTAACGAACAACATTTCTGGCAATCCCAACAAGCATAGCTGTGCATAAATAAAAGCAGTTAAATGTAGTGCAGATGTGAATGATATGCAGTCACATATCTCTTCATAGATTAGGTAATGCTCTATAGGTGTCTGCGTTATATCTTTCTTCCTAGGTCAGGAATACTGAGATTAAGCGTGGAGTTAGGGAAAGAGGGCAAGGCAATCGATAAAGGTATAAAGGTGCATCGAAAGAGATGGCAAGCCGTCGCTTTCTTCGTCGAGCTGTGTTAACTGACATACAATTGGGTTGGAGAAGAGTTAAGCGTGGTCAGACCCAAACATGGAATCAGTCCTTGGTGTATTTAACTGTTCGTTAGAGCCATGTAGAGAGAGGTGTTGATTGACTAGCTGGTGTCCTCGAAACGCCAGGAATCAAAGACTCTAAACTCTCAGTGATATGGCTCAAAATTATTTTCAATAGCACAGATGCATTCACTATTTTCTGATCTCCAAGATCTATTAAATTTTCATTATTCTCCATGTAATCATCCTTCGTCCCTTGCATTTCGTTTTATCATTTTGTCTTCGCATTAATTTCTCTGTTTGTGTCTGTGCTTTTATGACGTTTGGCGATTTGAACTGTTGCACTTTTATGCCAAGTTCTATATTGAGCCATTATTTCTGTTCTGTTCAGTCGACATCATTTTCATTGTTTCTCTCTGCATATTAACTTTATCCAAATATATCATACAAGTCATAGCAAGCGCCGTAAGCTATAAAAACCTTGTTTTCCAGATTTGCGTCTTTATTGTAATGCGTTTCATAACTCACACTGGTCGTTGGAATATGACACATTGTATAGCATGTGTGTGTGTGTGTTTATCAATGATATCTGATACGTACTTTTAGTTTACTGATTATTTGGACTTAGAATTTTGATAGAATGTTGAATACTTTTAGGTATTTGTTTCAATCACATACTGTGAGATATAAGGTCAAGTAAATAAAGTGATGCTAAATCGGATGTTTATTTGATACAACACAGTGTGATACAACGTTATTTTGTATTAACGTGTCTGTCGGATCCTTGAACCAACAAAATTTAAAGCGTTATATGCGTCCGTGGATATACAGGTCAATCATATTCTCCAGCAGACAGTTAATCCAGTTAAGCATCAAGAGTGAGATACCGCTTTTGGTCACCTTAATGTGTATTTTTCAGTTTCCTTGTTCCTATGGAGCAAAGTATATCAGCTGTGTTTATCGTTAAGTTCTCAAACATATTGTAGATTACTGTCTAGCCTGGCTGACCAGTACTTCTGTCACCGAACGCCTGGACATCTAGTACTCTCGCACGATCGCTTTACAGTACTACACAGATTTGCTCAAAATCTCACGTAAGGACTTCGAATACACCATTTATACTTAGTCGAATCACTGGCACTTCGGGGCCTGAAACCAGTCCTGTGTTCGAAAGCACTACACACATTCACTCGCCTCACCGTGTCCAGAGTAGCATTCTTACCATGATTTTCTTTCATTTCATTGTTTTAGCTTATTATTATTATGGCTACTACTATGGTTTATTAATAACAGAGCATTTTTCATACATTTTTTATATCAACACCTAACCGTCTTTCTGTTAGCTTTTGTCCATGTAAATTCATTAGTCTTTTTTTCACACACTACGAAATTCTAACTTCCATCCCTTTTTGTGATTTCCGCTTAGTCATCCTCATCTAGATTTCACCTTAAATTACATTTTCTATAGTTAGTTTGTAAGGATTAGTTTTGTTTTACGAGTCGATCACGCATTGATATCAGTCAGAGAACCATTGAAAACCAGGGAGTACTGGACAGCTGTTTCATTCTAGTCTGGGACTCAACGGCAGTACGCATTACATTATACATTTTCTCGAACATAGTTACATGTATCTGGCTAGTTTTATGAGTATTATGTACAACTCTTGAAAACTTCTTCTCTGTTGTGTTTTCTTTTGTTTGTAAATCTGTGTTCATCAAGTCAACACTCAATACATCTAATAGAAACGACTTAACACCAGTTCCAGAATAAAGGGAGATTCTGTTAGTAAACAATAGGGAGTAAAATAACTGTATAAAACAGGCTAGAGTAAATAGTAGGCACCAAAGTCAAATGACCTAGAACTGACTAATCAGATCGCTCAGCATTACAAATGGATGTTATTCATAATCTTTGTTGCAAGTTTCACCCAGAATGGGTTTTTGACTTCCGTGTGGAAAATGGGTTGATAAAATGGACTAAAACATACATGTGTGGACGCATAATGATTCTGCAAAAGTATTGCCGGGCTGTTGATAGCCATACATTCAGATGCAACCACTGTTATATCAGGAGGTCTGTAAGAGTTGGTAAGTTGTACATTATGGTGATTTTTAGATACTTTCTTCTCAAAATCGAAACTCTGTCTTAGTAAAATATTGCGTATATGCCACAATTGGCTACTGAAGCTAACAGTATCTGCTACAGCTGCGTAATCAGAGAATACTAAAATCTCAATAGCGCAGTGGTATCAGCACTGTCTGGATATTGTTTGACAAAAGATCAATGGAATCACTTGTGTACTTCGGGGAATTGGTGTCTTCGTTTATATTGATGAAGGAGTAGTTATTAAACGAAAAATGAATTGCTATGGGTGCTGAGACTGTACAATACAAATCTTCGAAAAGGGTTAATTGAACGCATTCCAAACAGAAGTACTGATGTTTTAACAGCAATGATACAACGATTTGTCCTCCCAGGCACCACCATTCACACAGATAAGTGGAGAGGTTATTTGCAATTATCATCATTAGGCTGTATTCGTCATAAAGTCAATCATTCTTCTGAACTACTGGATCCTATTGTGGTGAAAGCTGTCTGCAAGCCAAAATTGTAGACAGCAATTTACGTCAATGTTAGCGTCCCGAATCAGGGTCATGAGAAAAACAATAACAAGCTTAACCTTGAAAAAATTACCAGCCAATCAGAGCGTAGTTAAAGTGTGGAGATATGATTCACAGATATATGACTTGATTTTCTGAGAAACGGCCACAAAAAGATAACAGAATAACCTTCAGCAAGAGAACAACCAATCAGAAGAGGGTGCTCCTCCGCTAACAATGACGCTAATAATAATAATAATAATAATAATAATAATAATAATAATAATGTACATACAAATCTATAAATACCTCTTGATTTTCTGAATAAACGAGCTGCTGCCTGGTTCTTCGCTTCTGTCGATACACTATAAGTGGAACTCATATAAATTCTACTGAAGGATTCTGGGCCCATCTGAAAAACGCATTAGAATGAAGAATGGTTCCCGAAATGATATGGTATATAGTCACTTCGATGAATTTTCGTATTGACATTGGTTTGATATGTCTATAGACACTCATATAAGAAAATGGGACTGATTTTTGCAGCATATTAGAGATATATATCCTGCATATTTAATTTTATTACAAATATATCTTTTAAATGTACTTTTCTGTACAATGAATGCCAGTTTTCACCTAGAAAAATCCGATTGGTTGTTTCCGGGTCGTCTAGGCTTGATGTCTATTCTGTACTATTGTAATGATGTATGTTAGGAAGAGTAGTGTGTATACATTAAAATGATCATGAGCGATAAATGGTCCTCGAAGCGTCTTCTAGTTATGAACTCTGTATCACTGTGTATGTGCATGTTTGCTGAATCAAATAAATTTCTCTAGTACGGAATTAATTTCTACTCTAATAATATAATATATGGTTATACCATTGTATCATATTCGTTGTTGTTACTTGTTCTAACTGTGTTTAAAACTTGTCGATTTTCATCTTGTTTAACCTGTTGTGTAGGTCTCAGTATTTCGACTTGATTGGTCGGTGTGTAGCTACCTTAAAAGATGTCCAGAATAAAGTCTCTTCGCATACGCTAGATATGGGTAGTCAACTGTTACATTCACGAGAGTCTAAAAACTCCTCGTCGATGCTGTCTGATACGAGTACAACTACTACTAGTCAAAGAAATTTTCTATCCAATGATCATCATCAGTTGAATGAAACCTCTGAGTTGTGCGATCTTCCATTATTTGGTAATATTTGTTATCGTCTTGTTGCACAACCTCATTCAGCTAAAATACCATTAAAGTCTGGTTATCTGTGGATACGTGTAAGTGCAACTCGTTACCGATTTCTTTAGTTAATCTTCTTGAATTTTTTCCATAATTAAGTTTAAAAGTAGTTTCGAAAGGGAATTGACAATAATGAATACTATTGGTTTTTCAGGGATTTGCTTGATTTCAAGTTTTATTATGACTTCCGTTAGAACACGACCGTCAACCAATGCTATCGGAGGATATTTCTCCTCACATCCAACTTAGTGTACTTCTTTTACGAGTTGATCACGGACTGATATCAGTTAGAGAACCATTGAAAACCAGGGAGTACTGAACAGCTGCTGTTTCATCCTTGTTTGGGAATCATCGGCAGTACACACCCACTGGGATTCGAACCCAGGACCTTCCGGTTACAAGGCAAGCTCGTATACCATTCAGCCACTGGGACCCGATTCAATGGCTCATGAATTCTAACTTCTACCAATTCGTGATTTTAGCGCGACCCCAACTATTGTCGTTGGTGGGACATCCATCCACACACGTGACATCTAATTGGACCTCACTGGTCACGACTTCTCACTAGAACTCCAGGAAGCTCCAACCTGTAGCAAGCCAGTGGGTGCGTACTGCCGATGATTCCCAAACAAGGATGAAACAGCAGCTGTCCAGTACTCCCTGGTTTTCAATGGTTCTCTAACTGATATCAGTCCGTGATCAACTCGTAAAACATAACTAATCCTTACAAACCAAACTATAGAAAATTAGTGTACCTCAGTACGAAATAACTTCAGTACTCCCTGGTTTTCAATGGTTCTCTAACAGAAATCAGAATTCAATGCAGGTATTGATTAGTCCCAGACAGAGCTATCCAGTAGCGCTCCTCAGCATAGGTCACTTGCATAAAAGTTTTAAGGTCTGTTAACTGTAAGATTCATTCAATCAGTAGCTTAAGCTTCAGTCTTTACTTCAGTGCTTAACTGATATCCCTTTGGAGATACGAACTGGTGTCACCCAGTGCTACTGTCAGAGACGTTACCGAAAATGTACTCATGCCGGCTACTAATCTACTGTAGGTTAATAAAATGTAACTAGTATTATGTGCCTAGTTCTTAGTTGTGCTGACTAAATTCTGTCAGTGAGTTTCAAATCTCTAAGAGGATATCAATACCCTCAAGGTTGCAGATATATAGGCCTTGCTGATGAGTGCCAATAGACACAAAACGTAGCTGCAGAACTTTCTGCCAATCACTTCCAATCATCTAATAGTTTCTTACGCACATGTGTACAGGCACACCTTTTGGTTTATTATCTTTGGAATTAACGTGTTAATAAATAGTAGTCAGGTTGAATACTTTCAATTTTTATAAACATTTAGTATCTTAAATTTACCTCTGTTGGTTGATTAGGTATACTTACTAACCTTACATTATTGGTTATAACTCATGACCATCTGATGAAAAAGTTTCTGTGACATTAGGTTTATTCATTCAGTTGATCACTTATAATAGGTAAGATAAACCATGAGCTTTCGTCTAACCGTGAAGTGTTGCCTTGCAAATAAGTATATTATGTGTGTATTTAAATTGAAGTTTGAACACTTTACTCATATAGACCGGTGTATCTAATTTATTACTCTGTGATTGATTTACATGAGATAGTTTATTGACCAGGACAGTTTAATAATGTTGCCTTCTGTTGTAATTGTCCACATAAAGTTGAACTACTGAACTATTAAACTAACTAGCAGACAAAAAACAATCAAATAGCAGTGTTATAACAATTCGTTTATGCACTTTATTAGTATCATTCACTTCGCCTCTGATTGACTTATTCTGCCGTGAAACATGAACATAAGAAAGACTAAATGAATGCTTAGATAGCTGTCTACATTATAGAACTTCCTCTATATATATATATATATATATATATATATATATATATATATATATATATATGAATTTGGAAGACTAAGGTTCTCATAAAAAGGTGTACCTGGTGTTGAAATAGACAGATAGTCACGTTACTAACTCGAATGCATTAGACTATAAATATCCATAGTGTGGTTGTTACTTCTAACTAAGCTTTTGTATTTAGTGAAGTTATGCGCCAAAACAATACTCTTATACACATGATTATCTCTGTTTTTTCATTTGGCCAGACAAACTTTCTAATAGTCTATTGCAAAAGCTTCGCGTTTTGTTTCATCTATAGTGTAAAAACTTTTCTTGTAGAAATTAACTCCGTCACCTGTGCAAGCGCCTATGATGCTGTATCGTTGTGATCTTCGTGATCGTTATCTCACTGCTATTCTAATCAATAATACCAGTTTTCGTGAAGACATAAATTCACAGGAATTTTCCCCACTAAATCATGTAAGTTGTTAGTCATGAAAACACTGGGAAATATTTTATCTTCAGGTAATGTAGAATATTATTTATAGCTCAGGCTGTGAATGATCTAGTTGAAGTTTTCTTTCTTAGTGTTATTTTTCACACCAGATCTTTCAGGTAATATTCTAAGCATCGGTTTCAGTGTTATTTAAGAAGCCATGTCATTAATGCAAACCGGTTTGGCATAGGTTTTTGAGTCAGAGATACAAAAATAAAGCCAGAGGATATAACATTACTTCACGTGGTCACCATACCGTAAAAAAGTGATCTTGTAAAGTGGTGATCAAATTCTTGTCACTGCAATGATTCTTGGATTTATGCCAACTGAATGTTTCTTTTTTGAGCCTCAATTATGCCTGTATGTTAGTTGAGTGGTATTAAGTCTAAATATTATCATTGTGATGTGAGGATGCGAGGACACATGTTTATGACTGGTTGGAAAAGGATATGACGGCGGTAGTGTGTTTTGACAGAACGACCAGCAGTACAGGGGTAGGTGCACTAACTTTCTACTCTGGAAAAGAAATATTATGATAGGTTAACTCAGGGAAACTGAATTTCATTTCGCTTATGGTTTTCTACAGATTAGGACTACTGATAGGTGAAAAATGTTTGTATAAACTAACACTAACTCGTTGAATGAAGGAAATCAGCCCAAGGATGTAAGTTATTTAATTCAAATCTATGTCTATTGTATAGTGGCTAATAATCCTATTTATCTACTTGATTCACAGTGAGGTGATTGTGTTAGGAGCCCCTAAACCACTTAGTCCCCTTGTGCGAAGCTTTTCCAATAGTATGAAATAGAAATCAAGTTGGTATAAGACTAACATTAGCTAAGTTAATGAAATTATTAACTTTTAGTATAGGCTGTGCAACTCATCTAGCTGGCTTTTTCAACCTGTTAATGTAGAGATTATCAATCTATTTTTTGTAACGAAACAACTTCAGTTGAAGAATCATTCTGTTCCGAGATACTTCCACAGTGCACATTCATGAACTCACCAGGGGTTTTGAACCCAGAATCTTAACGATACAATAAAAGACCGCTGATCATTCAGCCATTGGTAAGGAATATAATAACTCACGAGTTACAAAACAATGATTGACTGGTTAACGAAAGGTAGCCTTGTAACCTGAAGGTTCGTAATACAATCTCTGGTGGTGGTGGTTGTGGTGGTAATGAATGCTCACTACAGAAGAGACACAGGCTACAAAGCAACTCTCCCGTACTCCCCAGTTCTCAGTGATTCACTAACTGAATTCATTTCGTGATCAAAATTGAAGTTTTTTATGCTGTGGTGTTTGTCGAAACTTTGGTAAATCATGTAAAGTGACGAAAGTATGAAGAATTATCTTCTTGTATTGTTTATTTATCGTCTTCTGTTATTGCTCATTTTACTCTGATGAGCAGTTTTTTTCCTGGGAAACCGTGGAAGGCCACTTTTAATTCTTTTTTTAATATTTGTAATACTTGCTAATTCGTTAGATATAGATTTCCGTTTCTTATTATTGATACTTAACTCTGCACTTTTTTTCATCAAACTAATCAGGCAAGTCAGAAGTCAAAATGTCAAGAGCATAGAATGGTGAATCATGCATTTAAAACTCCAAACAGCATTCCAGTCAATGATAATTCTTACGATAAACCAGCTGTTCCATCAAAAGACGATTCTTATGCAAATAATGATCACTTGAAAATTCCTGAATTGTCTTCAACTCCAGCTACTTCTGGTGACATAGTATCATTTTCTGAATATTCTGATAATAATAATAACTCATTAAGTCCTGAAACACACAGAGTCCCATTATCATTACCTCAAAGTCGTCGCTGTCCTGATTTAATGATACCTATTCATCCGGTAAGACCAGTTAAATAATAATAATAATAATATGTGTCCACTATTAGAAAGTAATTGGTTGTGTGATTTCCACAGGTCGTATAATTTTCTTCTAACTGATGGTCGTGATGATAATGATGAATTTGCCTTTACAATTTCCGATAATTAAAAAGGCCACCTCAGGTAGCCTCGTTTTCAGTTAACAAGCCGCTTCTCACTTTTTAATGATGACAGGGTTCGAATCCCACCCAATCTACTCCAGCCATTACTCAATAACTGTCTCTCATGGTTTGCTACATGATAAATCAACCCCTGTTATTCTGAGTTCTAGTAGTTATTCTATTGAAACTGAAACCATCTGAGATAGCCTTCAGTTGACACACTGATATTTTTGGTATAATGAATGATGGATGAAATGAAAATCTGGGTAGTAGCATGGTTCAAACCAACCGCCTGTTAACTATTAGACTGATGGCACTCTGCCACCTACAGAAGATTTAGTAAAGCAGGTAGTATATTAATAAATGGAGAGTTATTTATAACATATTCAGATGGCAGCTGGATATAGCCCGTAGTGATTGTAGTGTAATAGTGACCTGATTAGCAGTTGGGTTTCGTAGCTCATCTGGTAATTCAGAGGCCACTGGTTCGTATCCGGCTGTGATCCGGATCCTTATTTCACCCTCCATTATTATACATTCCTTCCGATAATAAGAATTGTTTGCGAAAATTGTTCGTATCAATATCCTCCAGGATATCTGTCGTATTACCCCCAGCTAGCTTGATGTAATACCAATGCAATATTACCAGCGTGGTGGTATGGACACTACTAAAACTCAGGTTAGTGACGGCTTTCCCAGTTTATGTATATCTGACGATTTGTAATTTTATATGAGAATATGCGTGAACGAGGTGAAAAACAGGTACAGTATATTCAACTCACTATCATGTTGGTCTGACTTGTATAGAAATTATTGCTGAATTTTGAGAAATAAGTACATAGAGGGAACTTCTGCAATAATACTCAAACATTACTAACTGACAGCTGTGTTACAGGGTTCCACAGAAGTCGTTGCGTATGTTATTGGCTGCAGTCTAAAAGAGGCTCTTACAATATGAGTAGTTGGATATCATTCAGCTGAGAGACCTGAATTAAGCCGAACAGATGCGTCTCTATAAGTTGAGCTAATCCAAGTGCAGAGCCATCCGGTATTTAGATCACTTCAATCTATTAGTAATCACTAGTGCTTGATGTGAACTGTTTTCTATTACTCATATTAATCAGTAGTATATACCACCATTCGGTTTTGTTTGTTCTGTTGGTTATCATTTATGGTACCAAGCAAATCAAAAACTGTGATCTACATAATTTTGGTTTCCAAAGGCACTGTAGAAAAATGTCACCTCGAAATGTATGTAGTTTGCACATGACGAATTAGATTTCGACACTTGCTTCATTTAATAATTTCTCTTCATTGGTTTATTGAATTGTCGTTAACAATTGCATATTTCCTTTACCTCTTACATTTTTGCTGTTTTAAGAAAACACGTTTTCTTGACTCCCAACCGATTCTACGGCAGATTGACTTAGCTAGATCTGAAGAGATCAGTGAATCGACGAATACCTCCAAAGATGATTTCAATACATCGAATAAGTGTTCTATATCTTCGCCGACGAATGGATCACAATCAAATCTCAATCACCTTCATCCATGTGTAAATCATAACTCATCGCTGGAGGAAAGAAAACGCGCATTGTCAACAGTAGACATATCATGTTTATCTGATACTTCCCAATTAGATGATTCTTTATACACACAATCGTTTTTCTCTGCATGCAAGGCAAGATTATTAACCTCTCAGTCTGTTGATAATCTTTGGACTCCATCGAAAACTGAGCAGTTTGAAAAACCACACAATAAAACTGCCTTCAGATTAAAGTCCAGTGATACACCGAAACAGTTATCTAGTCGACCGATGACAAAGTCAACAGATGGTCTAACTTGGAATACGGTTAAAAGTGAATCTTCATCAAGACATTCACCATCTCCAGTAAACAAACAATGTCAAAAACGATTAATTAGTCCTGTTGATACAAGAAAGCGGATGAATCGAATCTCGCGTTCCGTAGAACCTGTTCGTAGGCTTTTTCCTAATGAAAAGTCTACTTGTAATGGTAATATTAGTAGCTCACTTGACGTTACTGAATTTAGAAAACTCCGGCTAATATCACCACAATCATCTTTGGCTAGCTCACAAATGTCAACAAATGATATTGTCAAAGATAAAAGAATGCCTTATTTAAATAAACTACAAGTATTTTCATCTCAGTTACTGACATTTCGAATTGCTACGTGTCCCCTAAGTGAAAAACGTTCAACTGATAACAGTAATTTATCACCAATAGAACAGCATAATCTTTCCACTGAAGTTTTTGAATTCACGGTAACAAAAATGCTTGATAATGATTCCTTCCAGTCGTGTGATTCCACTGCTTCAGTATGTTGCGAAAATGATGAGAAAGAAATTGCTTCTTGGTTCGCGTCTTTGAAAAGTCATATACAAGAACAAGGTATTTATTTACCTTCATTGTTTTCAACTTTTAATGTTGTTACAATTTCTACAATATATTATATGTACCCTCCATATGAAAGTAATATCTGTCGTCACTTTGATCTACTTTATATTTTCTGTGTCACATTCGATGGGTGGTGACTACCACGGAAGTTTCAGTTACGTATTTCGTCCTATTTAGGACTCGTCAGCCAGATCTATTGACTTATTCACGAAGTGGTAACGTTCCCACTGAGATTAAGACCCAGCACCCTATCACCTGAAATGCCAGAGCGTTTATCCATTGGGTGACGAGAGCCATCTCTTTTGCAACCGGTATCAGTTGTTATTGGTTCGAGTTAACATGGTATCATATGGTTGATAGTGGCTAGTAATGGGATCCAGAATACGTGTTTCATCCTATTAGTGACTCGTCAGCTAGGTGTACCTGCACTCCCACTGCGACTTCTTAGTTAGTTAGATCTCACTTACCTAATACTGGGCTATAAGCCACACTTGTTGCTGTGAGGGGCTTCAGATACTACCCAAATACCCAGACTGGAGTAGATGGAGCGGAACTCGAACGTGGCACCCAGTGGCCGAAAGTCTTGTGCCTAAACCAGCGCTCCACATTCCTAGGATATTAAGCATGACTTGGTCTACTGCATGAGGAGAACTTTCCGCCTTTTTCTAGAAGAACCACATTATCATTGTGTACACAATAATCTTCGCGAAGCTGAAAGAAAAGATAGAAGGGTGAATACAATAATCTACTGAGTTTAGTCAATATTAAACTATAGCATTGTCAGTGTTCATAGTAAGCTCTCTTTCATCTCACCCCTTAATTGTTGGAAATCATATTATTTCTCCTCACAACTATCAACATGGTTTGATGTCATATTCACCGTCATGTTTTTAATTTTTAACTTCTAATTGAACCACCATACATATATACGTAATAGTTGGATGACTTGATACATTTTCAACAAATAAGCCAATTTTTTAACATCTAACACCAAACTGCAATGTCCAGGAGTTTTGAGTTAATCAGTGACTACATAGTACCTACAGTTGGATAGATTTCATTCGAAGATAAATCCTTTAACATAAAGTCTCATAGGAGGTCAGTAGTAACTTCGTTTTAAAGTCTGACTGTGGAACTGGGTAATTTTGGTTCAAGGGGAATATAGATTTCTTCTAGGATGTAGATATATGTCTTGTTGATTGTTTTGAACAACCCTTCATCGCCTTTTCCTGTTCTATTTATGGTGGAAATGTGGCTCCATTGTCTTCAGGGCTTAACTTTCAGTTGATGAGTCCCAGATTCGAATCTTTTTTCTCTTACCTTTAACTGGCTCCAACAGGTATATTTTTTAGTAGGATGATGCCTTCAAATTGTCCAGTTCGGGGAACGAATCCTAGTATGATATATTGACCAAATAGTAAGCTAAGTTTTTTTTGAAGTGTTTGCCGTTGACTTACATTCATGTAGCGGAATCGTTTAGCTGTGTTCTCCTAGACTATAGTGTTGAAATTTCAAGCTCTTACTATTGATGCTTAGGTTCAAAACTAAACCCTCTTTATTTGAACCTAGTTCTCGGGACAGATTCTCAGTGTTCCGAGTAATGAGCCACACTTGTTATGTAAGGACTGATAATACTATCTAGTCACCTAGGTTGAAGTAAATGGTGCAGGATTCGAAACTCTCACCCACTGGTTGAAATCCAAGTGCTTAAACCAAGACTAAGCCCCAAATACTCCGTTTTATGTAACGCATCAAACATGGACATACATTTTATTGTAAATATCTATTCAGATTTCCTTAACTCCTGCATGTCGTTTAACCTTTACTTTGATCAACCATCTTTATTTATAGAGCTTTGGGGTTCTGAAGCCTTCTCTGAAAGTATCAATATTCCTAAGAAGACACCACAGTCGATTCGCAATACAAGTGCTCGTCGGTCAGTTGCAATCCCCAATGACTTTTCGATTCGAGTAAATTACTGAACTTCCCTTCAGTAAAACATAATGCTGCATTGCCATGTGCTTACTTTGTAATTATACATAAATAGGTTATTTTATTGTTTTACTTCCAAAAGGTGTTTCTTATTCCTGCTTGTTAAATTGAATGATTTTTTTAATTTTAAGTTTAGTTTTCTTTGTGTAAATATGTTCAATAGAGTAATTCCTTTTTCTGTATCAGTATTTTTGCTTTCAACAGTTTCTTATTTTGTGTTTTACTGTCCTCATGTTATTTCTTTTTTCTGTAAATTGATTATTGTTTTCATTCTCTTGCGTTCCGCCTGGAACGTCGTGCTTCAAACTTTGAGCTTTGAAGTTTTACCAGTAACAGTGACTGACTGACTGGTTTCAACGTAAAACTTTGCACAGATGTGCAGCAGTTCGAGCTGCCACATTCCATGTAACAAACAATGGCAAATCACAAAGAGTTAATGCATCTGTGCCTTTGAGAACAATTTTGAGCCATCTCACCAATTGTATCCAGCCGTCATTGGTTCTTACCAGGCCGAGGACCCCAACCAAGGAGTCTACATCTCCCGACGTGGTTGACGTGAACTAAATGTTATGTATTTCATTGACTGATGCTATGTTTTCACTTGACCACCACTGCCTCTTTTCCAACGTGATTTATCGTATATCAGCTAACATTACCCGTTGCTGAGGTAGAAGACGGATGCCTAGGCATACATAACATAAGTTCTAACCATCTCAATCGGTTTAACTTCACCCTATTATACCACTTCACACTGGAAATAGAACACAGACACTTATAATCAAAGACAACTAGCCTTTTCATGTTCTCCACTCTCAATGGCCAGTTGTCACATCCATTAAAGGAGGACGGAGTGGACTGAGGAGCAGTACACCTGCCCTTTGGTTGACAGCCAGCCGGATATCACATCTACGCCAGAGACGGCGTAAACTGGTATATACGAAACTAGCCCTCTGTATCCGTGCTGAGATTTCGTCAGCGATCAACCCGTTAGCACTGGCTGATGCAACTTCCCAAATAAGTGAAGCGGTCAACGTGCTCTACCACTTCACTCCCTATTTCTAAGCTAGGAGTCAGTTTATGTTCAGTCCTGTAACATCATCTTACATTTGGTGTTGGAGCGAATCGCATGCCAAACATTCATAGATTGCAGCTGAAGGTGTTCAGAAGACTCTGCTCTATTTTTTCAGTGTCTTCATCACCTAGAAGGACTATATCGTCTGCATATTCTAAGTCAACGAGATTATTCTCTGATGGTAACAAGTCAATCTCTGAGTCACTGAAGTCAGTTAGGGTTAAATCCATTAGTACATCTATGATGAGATTGAATAGAAATGGGGATAGGGGGCATCCGTGACGGACACCACCACTTCAGATGACAAATCACCGTAAGCTCTCACCTAGCTACATGAGTTCTAGTAGAGTGCCTTGATCAGTGCAATGTATGTTCTCGGCATTCCCTTTACAGCCAGGGATCGCCATAGTACCTCTCGGTCGACAGAATCGAATGCCGCCTTTAGGTCAAGAAATATAATGGTTGTTGGACGCCGATGGTGATTATGCCTATGTTCCATAATCTGTCGAAGGGTGAAGATATGATCAACACACCCTCTTCCTTGTCTGAAGCATGCCTAGTTCTCTCGTGTTTGTTCCTTCTGAGCACTGCTTAGTCTACGCATGATTAATGAGTCTAGAACTATCTATAACAAATTGGTCAAGCTAAACATCCTGTGTTTATCTCAGGAAGCCTTGTGCTATTTGGTTCTTATGGAGTAAGATCGCCAGCCTCACACTCAATCTTCTCCCTTTACCGGGGTTTACTCACCGGTTAAGAACGCTTCGGCTTCTGGGAATCGAACCCAGACCACGTGTTTGCATTGTTGGCGAGTATTCAAGCATTAAATCACCGCCCGTCAACCCTCTGTGCAGTTTCTTGCAGTGCGTAAACTGATTAAACCATCTTTATTTATGCTAGTGCTGAAACGTTTTTTTTCTTGTATTAAAAGAATTAAAATTTCCTTGTTGAAAGGAATACTAATAAAAATCCGCAAAATTAATATATCAATATTCTTCACTTCTGTAGAGTTTTCGATTGTTATATCTGACGTGAATGATTGTACATGTATGTGTTTGCCAAAGTTACATTTGACCCAAAACCACCGTTGTGTAGCATCTGATCAGGTTGTTTAGTGGTGAAGTGGTTGGTTGGCTTAAGCATTCTGACCTACTGTCAATGTGTCCTGGGTTTTGAGCCACGCTCCACCTACTTCAGCCTAGACAACTGTGTAGTAACGGTAGTATCGTCAGTCCTCACACCTGTTTTTGTCAAAACCTTCTTTCTTTAGTGATATAACATAAGACAAATGAATTCTCTGTTATCCTCACATCACAGTCTATCGAACGCTAATCATATGAAACTGAGCGAAAGATTGCACGTGAATCTAAAAAGAATGATTCATTTATGCCTACCGTGACTTCTAGTAGAGTTTCCTGTCTAATTTGAGGTGAACTTCAACTTTGGTAACGTTGAAAATTATTCCATAGCGTAGACTGAAAGTTGTTTCATCTGAAGGAGTTGATAATGGTTTCACAGTATTGCGTGAAATTGAGAAAAGCTTAGGAGTAATGATTCCACCACAGATAAAATCTATCTGACAAAAGCACACAGTGATATAGTATTATATACTGATGAGGTTTGAAACACAATTTGTTGTTCATAATAATTATGTGAATGCACTCACATAACTTTCGAACTATGTTTATGTAATATCATTGCTTCTTATTCTTTGACTTTAAAGGTACTAATATTTTACATATATCTGGTATTCGCGTTGCGTCATTCCTATTGCACTTGGGTAAAGATTCAGTTAACAAAGGTTCATTAATCAACCTCTGTTTCCACTTACCTATATTACTTTTTAGACCTCTAGCTCTTTCGCATCCTATTGTGTGCTAATGCATGCATTACAATCTCTAAACTAATCATTGTCGTAGAATCTGTTGTCCGACCTCACAGTCAGATCACCTTCGTAAGTGAGACCATTAGACAGGGGTCAGTCAGGTTATCGGGATGAAAGAATTAATAATAATAATTTGCTTTATTCCAGAAACAGTACTAGTTCAGCAGTGTTGCGGGCTACTGCTGGACTGGTCATCTGGATGTCAGTAGTCTGAATTCTATTACTGTCTAACTTGCGTGAGCTAAAGCATGAACTGAACTCAGTTAGAGAAGCATAGAGTACTAGAAAACGTTCTCCCTCTAGTTAGGAACTCTTCATCAGCACCTATCATCCCTCCAGGGGTCAAACTAAGAACTTTCAAAATACGAGGTGAGCCCTCTAACCAATCAGCCACTGGTGCTGAATCTAATGACTCTAGTTCTGGTGTCTGCTGATTTCTGATATGCATAGCAACCACCACCAAAACATGTCATCGGCGAGTATCGGTGTACATACCTAACTTGATATACACCCCTGGTTACGACTACTCACTAAAACTCAAAACAACTTTATCCTGTAGTCGGTCACTAGTGTGCATTATTTTTTTATCCTTAAATAATTCCATGAAACACAATAGTCAGTATTTTCCACTGTACCAGTCCTTAAGCGTTTCAACTGTGCACACATAGTTTCCCTGATAAGTAACAATGACAATCATAATTTTCTTAATCAATAATTTCGTGATACCAAAACGTACTTCTTAATTGTTACAACATGACTGATTCATTTTATGTGGAATACATAAAGTAAACAATTTTAGAAACTTGTTTTTTTTTTTTAAATTTTAACAATTCTACATTATGTATTTTATATTTGTTAATAATAAATTTTGTTTTAAGCACTGGGTCATGTGATTGTAACATTTTAAATCCGATAGACAAATCGATTAAGAAAAACCGTGAGTAATAAGAACTATTATAATTTTCAATTTGTTACAACCTGTTTATACTGACTGAAAACTCTATTTGATATATATATATATATATATATATATATATATATATATATAACAGTGAGGGAATGGACCAGTCGCACTCGTCACTTATTATCCAGTCAACTCTTTTGGGGATACACGTCTCCTATGGACACAGACCTTATTACGCTTTCACTAGCTCTTCTTGTTAGTTAGTGATATCATTTTATGTTTATGATCCGTCATTAAAATGGAAGATGATAGAGAAATTGTTCAGTAAAGCTTTACCTCAATGATTGCTAACCATTTATTATGTAATTAAACAGTTTTTGGATTACCAAATAAGATCTGTATTAAATAGTCAGGTTAGTGTTTATTAATTTCAGTGTAGATTTCTCTACAAACCGCCATCATTTGGTGAGTCAGTGTACGTTGGTTTTGAATGATTCACCAACTAATGTCGGTTTGTGATGAAATCTACATTGGAATAAGTTCATATGGTATTCAGTTTTTGGTACATCAAAAAATCAAAGGTAGTTTTAGCAGTGTAGAATTATGTATGGTATCTATGTAGCAACAGAATATAAGAGAATCGGGACCGAACTATACTTATTAAGGAAAAACGCATCATATTTACACATTTTTAACTACATTAAACTCCTGCTAGGTCAACGGACAACAAACTGTTCTGATTAGCCTGAGGTTAAACAAAGAGATGAAAAGTTGTCCAGTGAGACTATTTCAAGACCACATAGTAACACGAATCCCGATTTGATGAATGAATAAACACTTCTACCTCTGCAGCCATTGACTTAAAATGTTGCTTTCAATTTTTGACAGCTTCTTATTAATGGCTCCCATGCAACACACACACCGAGTCATTCATTTATAAGGTGTAGAAGGAGGTTGTATGTATAATGTGTTCTGTGTTTTCCAATGGTCCTCTAACTGATGTCAGCTCATGGTGAAATCCTCCAACCAATCAAACAAAATCCCTACAAAACCAATACTTGAAAGATACAAAAATTTAGTCAATTATATAAATAACTCATTTTTGTTTGAGATCAAAGCCAAAGATTTTACATTGCTTTGTTTAACTCAAGAAACAGTAGTAGATTACATTAAAATAGAGGAGGATTGGAATGTATAAAGTATTGATTTTTTGACTATTTAGTATACAAATTGAAATTTCATTTACAATATTACATGGGGAAACAAAATCAGCTGTACTCGGTTTAAATGACCATTGGATTAAAATTATAGATGTTGAATTTGTGGGGATTTGATTGGGCAGTTTTGTCCTAATTTGGAAATCTCCCTTTCTTCAGCAGTTCGCAACCACTACTGCATGAGTGACCAGCCTCAGGAATGTCATTTTAAGAAGCGAGAGCGTCGTTTGCATTTAGTCACTGGAAGGAGATACTTCTTTGCTTTTTGGTTTCGCAGTGTTTCTCCAACTAATATTGGTTCGTTATGAAATTCACCTTGTTTTCTGGGTGAGACCATTGTCTTGATGCTTTCATATAGTGGAATAGTTTTGTTTATTGAATGCCGTTTCCGACTTAATCTTCCTTGATAAACTAAGCAAGAATAAAAATTCTGCAGGATAACATGACATCGTTTTATCTCCTTGGATCTTTTCAACTGCATACAACCTGATACAGTTACAATATCACTACACAAAATTTTCTCATACCCAGTTTAAATAGTTAGACGATGGTAATCAAAAATATTATGCGACTGAATGCAAAAGGAATAGAAAGAAAAGAAGTACAGGTATCAGTAAACTTGCTTGTATGCATAGAAAAGCTATATAGAATATTCTAGAGTCAGGAACAGAGGTTGACATCATTTAGGTGTTCAACAAAACAAGTAACACATGTTACGTAAGTTAATTATTCTAAATGATTAAATGAGAATAAACTGAGTAGACGTCAAATATTCAGATCAAAAATACGGATCCAAACAAGAGAAATTAAGAAGTATAATGTGATAATGTCGAAATTAACTGAAGTAACAAAAGTAGGGAAGAATAAAAATGTTCTCACTATGGTAACGAAAGATTGAGTGAAGAAGTTGAGTGTTATCTATTTAACCTCTACGGCTATGGTGATATGTAATAGGCTGGGATTAACTTGTACTTTAATTACCACAGATGATTTTAAAATGAAGACTTCTACTTGGTGACAAGAGATTGTACTGGTCATAACTTTTGTACGTTTCATTTGAAAATCTCTTAGAATGTGCTCCAACATGCTTTGACGAATCCTTCTTTCTCTTCATCAGATGTATGTCCCTTGACATGTGTATGTGAATTGATACATGCTCCTG